CTTTAAAGGATTCAACTGTCATACCCACAACTTGTGGGCGGATTTAGGGGTGTGGAAGGGGTTCACCCGAACCCCCTTCGCCGAAAAATTACACTGTATATGTAAGGTAAAATCTGGTTTTTATCTCTATATATTAAGTTTTGAACCCCTTTTAACACAATCCAAAAGTATAATTTAGTGGTCAAGGGGGTTCAAAACCTTCATAAAGTCATAGGTTCAATTCCTACTAGCTACAAAAAAAATTTTTAAACCCCCTTCGTGAAGATACTGCCTCCGCCCTTGTGGGCCACAAGGAAGCCATTTACAACTATTTGACATATATCCACTTTTTGGAATCAGTTTTAATTGAAGTTGCTTCTACTATTAATCTTGACACAAGTTTTAGTCTCCAAACATAGGGTGTGTTTGGTATTAGGAAATATTTTTTATCGAAATTTTTAGTTTACTTACTTATTTTTTGATATTTGGTTAGTAAATAAAAAATATTATCCCAAGGACAAATCAAGGTCCGAGGTTCAGAATCAGGGTCGGACAGGGGTTAAGTTAATGGAAATATTTTGTCAAACAATTAAGCCATAACAAGTATTTTCCTTCATACAAAACACACCTCCAATCCTCACTCATTTTCCATTTCGGATACAAATAGAAAATATCTTTTTTATTTAAATATTATGTTTAGTTTTCAAGTATTTAATGTTAATCCGCCCACGATCCTTTTGGAATTTGGAATATAATTAAAAGAGAAAATGGTTATCCCTTGTCTCCTCCAACAAGTAATATAAAGAGGCTGAGGTCTAAAGCTATTAAAATAGATATACTGGTCTAACCAACTTAGTCAATTTTTACTTATTATAATATTTGCAAGTAAAGATTATAGTATTTTAACTTAATTAAGTTGGTTTCTTTGGTTGAATTAAAACCAAAATTTGTGCCAGCGCACATTACGATAATAGTAATCTATAATCCAAGTGACGAGTTATTATGCTTGAGACTTTTCGACTAGTTAATAGGTCACAACTTTAAAAATTCCACAACCGTTATTCATACAGTTGTTTAATTTATACTAGTTACTTCTTTATTGCAAAATTGTATATTATTATCAATAGTTTGACTATTTTTATATTCCACAAGTGCTCTCACATAGTGAATTTTTATGACAAAATTTTAGTGCATCCGATTTTTATACCAAATCATTAATATAAGACATACATCTCTTCCATCAAGCACGTAAGTCTTCGTTTATCATATTTTTTTATTGGCAGAATAGCCTGCTAGACACCTTTACTTATTCCGTTTTGACATCCCGGTCCCCATATTCCACCAAGTTTCAACCAGACACTTGATCTTTTATAAATTAAATTTTTTAAGCCCTTTTGACCGTTGACTAAACTGATGTGGTATTTATTTTGCTGAGTCAGACAAAGAGCGTAATTACACTCTCCCAAAAGCAAGTGATTGAGGAATTTTGATTAAAAAATATTAAATAAATTAGAAAAGAAAAGAAAATAAAATGTAATGCCAAACAAATTTCTTTTCCCCGTCTTATTCCCCCCTGTCCATTCGATTCTCTGTCTCCACCATAACATCAAGAGCTGCTACAATTTTTTGCTTCTCCGCCAATCAATTTACATTAGTCTCTTCTTCTCTGTTGTGTTCTCTTTTCGTGCTTGCCCATTTAATTTATCTCAAATTTTGTTTAAAAAAAAAAACCTTTTTCAAACTATCTATTAACCATGGTATTTTTAATCCTAGTTTCTTAGCAAACAAATCATTTTTTTCATTAGCATGTTCTTTCTCTCTTTCTCGGTGGGAGCTTCATTTTAAGAAGTGGACATATTTGATATTTGTAGGATTGAGATTTGGTATTTGTGAAAGTTAGAATTTAGTAGGAACTTCACTAAAATTTGAACGAGAATCCCACCTCAAACAACTCCATAGCAATTAATCTTTTCCCCTTTTTGAAAATACAACACTAATAATACCGTCCGTAGTCACTATTTTTAGCAACCAAAACTAGCTAGAACTCCAGCGAAATGGGGATCTATGGCGAGAAAGAGAGAGGAAAAAGAAAGATCGACATAGTGAGCTTTTTCCAGCAAAGTTCCTCGAGATTCGAGGTGATCTCCAGGTGATGTTCGATATTCCCAGAATCTATTACTCGCTTGTCATGGACATTGACACGTGCGATGCTTGAATTTTGAGAGGGTAACGTAAAGGTAAAGAAGATAAGAGGAGAGGTAGAGGGGCTAGCAAAGATGGTCGAGTGGACTTACAACGGAGAAAAATCATGACAAAAGAAGATAAATTGGTTTTGATTGTGTGTTTTCAGATGGAGGACAAAAGGGTGGTGCTGGTAGGTGGAGGAGGAAGAGATTAAATGGGGAAAAGAGAGAGGGGGAAGGTTTTGGGATACTTTTTTTGTTGGAGAAAAAGGAGATGAAATTGGGATTTTTATAAAAATAATATGTTATTAAAATAAATAATGATGTGGCATTAAATAATTTGAGGTGGATCTGATATGTCGTTCATGTCAGGGCAAGTGAGCAGCACACACTGTCAGAGGTGTTTAAAACTTATGTTTTGATCGAGTTCAAGTGCTTGACTGAAACTATATAGAGTAAAGGGACCGGGGTGTCAAAATGAAACAAGTAGAGGTGTCTATTAGGCCATTCTGCCTTTTTTATTTTATCGAACATGATAAACAGCATATACTCTTGTATTCTCTTCTCTTTTTGTTTTTCTTCTAGGCAATTGTCCTGCTTTCAATCCAAAACTCATAATTAATTTTTGTTTGTCATCTCCAAATGAGTTTACTTTACAAAATTGCTCCTTTCTTTGTTTCACTCTCTCACTGCCAAAATTGCTCCCTTCTTTGAATCTTTAAGTGACACATCTCATTTTTACTTTGACAATTGAATCCATATCTGACACACCCCCCCCCCCCCTCCCTCCGGGCAATACCCCTTTTGCGTAGTCTTTTAGAGCAAACTTTTTATACAAAGTTCTTTTAAAGTTTAGGAAAGAACATGTAATTATGATGACTAGCAAGTTTTTAAACTAATAAAAGTCCGTTGCGAGCAGTGGACAAAAAGCAGTGAGAGTACTGAATCTTGGAGAGCTCTTTGCATTCGCACGCTTAATAATGCACTTTTTGCACCATATGCTTAGGTGAATATATTACCGATGGTGAATGCCATTTTTGCACCAAAACTCGAAATTATGATCATTTTTTTAAAATTAAACAAGTACTTTTCCCAAATATTGAGTGTAGAGTTCCAATTGTTATAAGAGAAATTTTCACAAACCACTATTGTTTAGTGGTTATTAGGTAGTTGTAGCTACCATTTACTATATTACTTCCTATAGCTATGTTTTCAGGTTTTTTAGAGTGTATTCAATGTATTTAAGCTACTTTATTCATGAATACAATAGCATTTCTCGGAGTGAAACAGGGGATTACAGCTAGACAGATTATTGTATTCGACTGTATTCACGATATTTGTGAATACAATAACGTAAATAGCACAATTCATGGTCTATTCAGCTGTTTTTAAATGGAAAGTGAATCAATTAACATAATAGACTCCTAATATAACTCAAACTCAATTATAACACACAAAATTTGCATTTGAATACGTATATACATCTGAATACATAAATTATATTATTAAAAAAACATATGAATACAATCATGGAATATAGGGAAACAATGAATACAATGGAATAGAGCGGGATACACTGAAATACAATTGAAAAAAAAAGACAATGAATACAATGAAATACATAGAATACAGCGAGATACATTGAAATACAATGAAAAAAAAGGTAACAGACTCTTCAAGTTACTCAGCCCCGAACTCCGTTATCTTTGTTCAAGAACAACCCTAATGTCGTCTCGCCAAGAGGGCCGCGATTCTGACTCGAAACTCTCAAAATTTGGCACAAAAACGAAAGAAATTCCTTATTTCAATAGCAGATTGTCTTCTTTTGTTAGTAATTGCGTATTTGGTAGATGAAGAAAAGCAGCAATGGAGGTGGTGAGAGGCAAGAGTTGCAGTGGTCATGTCCAGATTTCATTGCAAGGAACCACCATCAAAATGGGGTGGATCTTTCTCTCTAGGGCTTGATTTCGACATTGATTCAGAGCCCCAGCCCACTGACAATGAAAATTTGGCGAGACAATGGAGAAGAATCAGTGGAGAATAGTGGTTGTATTCATGGAGAAAGACTGGCGTTGAGAGAGAGAGGGTGGAGAAAAATCTGAAAGAATGAGAGAGAAAAATAATACAAAAAGTATTTTATGGCTTAAGGGTAGGAGGTAACCATAAATAGATATTTGGCTATAAAAATGAAAAGATAGCTATGGAATATAATTTTTTAAAAGGATATTTATCTAAAATAAATAAGGTATCAGCCTTTGCTATATGAGGTAAAAATTCTTTGTTATAATTGCTTGTAATGATCGACACTATCCCCACGGCCCACACCTTAAGAGAATAGATTTCTGGTCAGATTCAAACTCTACACGTACGTGATGTGAAGTGTGACTGCATATGTTAAATGTAAAGTCAAGTCTCAGAAGACACTCGTACTTCAAGGAAAGACATTCTCTATTCAATACTTTTCAAATATGTTGCTTGTGTGGGATCCTCTAAAGTTGCACTACTTTTGGAAGATCCGACATGCACCCGTTGGGAGTTTTGAAAAGTCCGACCAACATAGATTATGCTACATAGTATGAATTAAAACTTAGCAGCAAATTGGAAGTTAGAAATAAACTTTTCAAAGGACTCAAGTATGACAAAGAGGACAATTTGACTTTGAAAATTCTAACAGAACTGCCTAATGGACCACGTTCAATACAAATTCAAATATAACTTTGACACTATACCATAATATTCAACGAATAAACAGTTTCCCCTTTAATGATTCTGAATTCCACCCCATAGGACACTGCGAAAGTCATATTATTGTAGATATAGCAGTAAGCACCTGAGAATTGTTTCACAAAGTCAGCAATTGCATATGCATTATCATAACAAATTAAAGACATCAAAAATCAAAGTAAAAAGAAGGGATGTATGTCGCTTGGAATCTTCAAAAATGGCGCCGGACATCAGTGGCGGACGCAGGATTACCGTCAAGGGGTTCAAAAAAATAAAAAAGTTAAAAAGGGGGGTTCAAAAAAATAAAAAAATTAAAAAGATTGTAGTTAATGAGAATAGAACCAATGACCTTACAAAGGTTTTGAACCCCCTTGACCAATAAGCTATGCTTTTCGGTTGTGTCAAGGAGATTCAAAACATAATATATAAAGGTAAAAAATAGATTTTGGGGGTTCGGGTGAACACCCTTCCGCCCCCTAAATCTGGCCCTGCCGGACATGTTGAATCCTCCAAAAGTAGTGAATTTTTTTGGATGATTGAACATGGGTGCGACAACATTTTTGCATAGTCCGAGTAACATAGGAAGGGACTTTGTGTTTTCACCTGGGAGAGTAGATGTAAACAGCCAGAGGAGGCAGCATTTTTGCAAGCCCTCCAAAAGAATCTTGAGAGACAGTGATGATCAAAGTAGCTACTGAATCTGAGATGCATCACATTTGAGCATAAAACTATGGCACCAATTACAAAAACTAACAATATCCAAGATTTTCTTGCCATGAAACTCTTAAATATGGAAGCAAAGCAAATAAAGACAGTAGAACCAAGTATAAAAATTCCATCTTTGTCCCGTTGATACAGTGATTGAATGAAGAGGGCTAGGTTTCCTACAACCACTGAACTCTGAGATATCGTTGCCTGCATTAGAAAAGATAGATATACCATACTTTGTTAATTATTTAGGATAGCATGGAACATAAGGGGGTGAACAGAAAATTGAACACGGGAGGATATACAATGCCAAGTCAATCACTCTTAGTAGTTGATGAGGACGAGCAACGATGAGGTCGCTCGTTTCATATTTTATTTAAACAAAAACTCCTATTATCTAGAGTTAGAAGTTTCATTAGAAACATGCAAGATGAGGCTTTGCCAAGGCTCGTTTCATATTTTACTTGCGAGGTTGAGTAGTAGTTGCCCCTCTCTCTAAAGGGGCTTGTGCATTTCACTCTATGTCTAGTAAAACGGGGGTTAGAACGAGTAGATGAACACCTCAATTTAGTGGCTTCTTTGGCCCTAATTTTTCATTTCCTCTCTAACTTCCCTGGTTTATGGGATTAATTAATTGGATATATATCTCGAACAAGTTTCCAACTCAAAATTTTCTTGGAATTGATCAAACTTGTTCAATCCAAAGTGCTTCAAGCGGGAATCGATTGGGAGACCTATAATGTTTCATACCAACAGCTACTATGACGATAGGTGCAGAATATTGCTTCACACACCACTACTACTTTATACAGTAGCGAAACAAATTTTTATTTTTAATTTATAATGCTTCAACGATATACACGTAATTAGAGGTGGGTATTGGTCGGTTCGGTTCGATTGTGAATATTATCGGTTCGACATATCGGTTATTGATTTATACATATGCTAAACCAATAACTGGACCGATAAGATATCAGTTATCGGGTATCAATTAATCGGTTTTCGATTGTTATTGGTTCAGTTATCGGTTTACCCTATAAGATAACTTAATTTAGAGGGAAAAGCGTAGTGTATAATACTAATTGATCTTATAACCTTGACCCTTTCAATTATGTTCTAAATAGTGAATATAAGTTTCATGGACACATGTCTACCCTCATCAAAAAGTTTGTTTAACTGCATACAACAACAAATTTTGCTCAAATGTATTTCATATATTCACACACGAATGAACATCAATGAGATTATGAAATAAAAGAGGATGACTTCACTATATTAACTTGCATCCTTCCACGACAATGAATGAAAAACTCATTATTAATTTTTTTCATCAAACACAACAATGTTCTATTGTTTAAGAGCGAAATACTAAATATATTGATACTATGAAATGCACTTATCCAACAATAGTAGCAAGAGCGATAACATATTCTCCAAAAGTAGCACGCGTACTCCGGGCTATTCGGGAGGATTTATTGAGCTTAAATATTAGAGGACTATAATTACAAAAGCTGCTTTCATATCGAGAACTAAGAGATTTGCTCAAGTCCACTTGTCCAAACACAGTAGAAACAACACAAAATAGTAGCAATTACATTTTGAAAATTAAGAAGTCCAAACATAGTACTAATAGAGAATGAAGCCCTAAGGTGGCTTTGAATATCTAAGAGTATAATTATAATTTTGATAAACTATTAATAATTATCGGTTAAACTATTAATAAAATTGGGCAAACCGAGATAATCCAATAATCAAATTACACCAAACTATTACCGAATAATTAACTCAATAACTCAGATACCGATAACCCAATAAGCTTTATTCGGGTTCGGGCTATCGGTTTTACCCGATATATGCCTAGCCCTAGACGTAATTCAAGTCAAGAAGCCATCATATCATCCATGTCAATGGGATTATTGAAACGCATACCTTGTTCTTTGGTTTGGAACTGATCGCTCTACTATTGTTCTTGGAACGTCTTCGAATACGGAGTCTTTCAAGGAATCGATGGAGTTTCGATTTCAAGGATTTTGATTTCTGTGGATTTGGAAAGGTGGGTGTTTCAGATTTAAGATGGATGAAGAATCTGCAGTACTTGAACTTGAGAGAGAATGGGAAAAACTTGCAATTGGGTAAAAAGTTGGAGGCTACCAATTTGAAATCCAAGTTCTTGGCCTTGGCCTGCACATTGAGTTTCCATGAATGGCATTGCTGCCCTGCTTCCATTCTCCCAGAGACCAGAACTTGCTTTACTAGCCGTTAGGGCTCTTTTTAATCCATTTCTTTTTTGCTTTTGTTTCGTTTCAGTATTAATGTTTTAATTATTTTAAGGAACCATTTTAAATATATACTACAACTAATATCCTGTTTCATTTGGCTACCGGTGCAGTTATATTCCAACAATAGCCCTCACTTGTGTGCTACTTAACTTTCTACTCTAAAATTACATCACAATTTATTAAGCTAAGTTATAATTAACAAATTACATACAAAATATTTAAAATGCACATCTGGTTTAGTGATGTGGTAGGATTAGGGCGGTCAAATTTGGCCCAAGCCCAAATGACCCGCTCAAGGTTGGGCTGGTTATTGACCTGCTCATTTATTGAGCTTAGCCTATCTTGACCCAATCCGTTTAAAGTTGGGCCAATTTTTAGCTCAAATTGATCCATGAGTAACTTTTTCAAGATATCTTAGAAATGAATTTTTTTTTTGTTTGATATGTTATATATGACCATAACAAAAGAAGAAAAAAAGTCTTATTTAGTAATTATACAATGAGAAATTTTCATAAAGCACTATCTTTTAGTGGTAATTAGCTATCTATAGATACCATTTGCTATATTACGGATTGTAGATACGTTTTCTGTTGTTATAAGATATATTAGATGTATTTAAGCTACCGTATTCATGAATACAGTAGCAAAAATAGGAGTGAATCAGGGAAGTCCAACTAATCAGTTGTTGTATTCGAGTGTATTCGACTGTATTCATGGCGTGAAACATGGGATTACAATTGAAAAGATTATTGTATTCGACTGTATTCACGGCGTGAAACATGGGAATACACTGTTCTTAAACGGAAAGTGAATCAATTAACATAATAGACTCCTAATATAACTCAACAAACTCAATTATAACACACAAATTTTGTATTTCCAGTTATAAAAAAGATTCTCAACTGAAAAATACCCCAAAAACATAGCAATCTTCAGAGAAATTATATAATACATCTGAATACATAAATTATATTAATTAAAAAAATATATGAATACATTCATGGCATATAGCGAGACAGTGAATACAATGAAATACATAGAATACAGCAGGATACATTGAAATACAATGAAAAGAAAGATAGTGAATACAATGAAATACATGAAATACAGCGAGATACATTGAATTACAAAGAAAAAAAAGATAATGAATACAATGAAATACATAAAAATACAGCATGATACGTTGAAAATACATTTAAATACATGTAGAAATCCTCATTGATCTTCGGGTACGCATCCAAATTCCGTATTTTACTGATGAAACTATCCATATTTTGAGATCCTTATACCCTAATTTCTCTACAAATTATTAAAATATATACGGAAATTCAACCAAAAAAGTGGATTTGAGTTTTTCTTAAACGCCTTGTCGATGAAAGATGGATCGCCGATTGTTGATTTTACGAATCACGCGTTTCAGCGAATTTCGACATAGAATTGGCGAGTTTTGCTCTTCGTCCTCGTCCTAATCCTCCTCTGATTTTGTGAATCTAAGAGGTTTTGTTATTATGAGGAAAAGGGCAGAGAACATTCGCCGGAGAAGTGCGTCATCGATGGGGGAAGAGAATGGCATGTATCAAAGTAGAGAGAGAAAGAAAATAGTGTAACTGAATAGCGTATTTAGTGGCTTAGGGGTAGGAGGTAACCAAAATTAGATATTTTGCTATAAACATTAAAAGGTATCTATAGAATATAATTTTTTAAAATGGTATTTATTTAAAATAAATAAGGTGTTAACCTTTTCTATAGGAGGTAAAAATTCCTTATACAATTCATAAGAAGACAACACATATTAAGTAAAGCTTGAAAAGAGTTGGGTGGGTTAGGCTATGACCCGAATTCTCATCTTGACCCAACCTATCTTAGCCCAAGTAACTTTTGGCCGGGTCATTTGATCCGCCTAATTATTGACTCAATCCATTTTGACCCGCCCAAAATCGGCTCAACCCGCCCATTTGACACCCCTAGGTAGGATGATTGAAATCATTTCAAATTTAATAAGAGATTAGATAATGGATGTTTTTTATTTTTAGTTTCTCTCCCTTCCCTTTGATCTTCATTTATTAGAGCTATTGCTCCTTTGATAACTCAAACCCACAACCCGAGATTGTAGGTGGGGGTGCTGACCATAGGAGCAATTTGCTATTATCGACCAATGGACTTGGGATACCGAATGACTAATACTCCCTCCGGTTCACAATAAGTGTCCAACTTACTTTTTCATTTTGGTTCAAAATAAGTGTCCAGTTATGTAATCAAGAAAGAATTCAATTTGTTTTTACAAAATAACCCCTATGTATATATCCCTAAAAAGTTTTCTTACTCCTCACATTAAATATTTAATTAGGGGTAGTTTAGTCATAGTAGGTATTTTTGTATAGAATTTAGTATTTCGTTAATGGGCGTGCTAAAAGTAAATTGGACACTTATTGTGAACCGGAGGGAGTAAAAGATATTCAAAAGGTGGTACTCATTATTGAGTGCTGCTATTCGGCCAAACTCAGCGTGGCCCAAAAATGACCACACCCGTGAAATGCCAGTAATGCCCTTGTTTTTCCGTTTGGCTTAATGNGCTGCCGGAAAATCTACCGGAAGAACACCATGGGAAGAACTGCCAGCCATTGGTAATCTACTGAAAACAAATGTTATCACAATTGAAGGAAAGAAAAGAAAAGATGAATTAGCGAGAAGACAAAGTTTCCTCAGAATCTCTCTCAACTGAACAATGAAGATATGTGAAATGAATGCCTCAACCCACCTTTATAGGCAACATAAGTGGCTTTTGCAAAGCCCAATAGCCATCATTAACTGCACGACCAACCGCAAAACGGTTCGGTTCTGTAGCAGCAAGCGTCATTATGACGAGCTCCATAAAGCGGCTTCTCGACCATCCGCCAGCGTACCGCCGTCAGAACAATCGCTACGACCTATGAACACCGAAAGAATGTGCCGAACGCCGTTAAAATTTTGGACGACCAAATACGTACTCGGCGCATATTCATTCCCCATGGCCATCTCCAATATATAAAAGGCTACGGCCATCCTCAATATATAAAAGGCTACGGCCATCTCCAATATATAAAAGGCTACGGCCATCCTCAATATACGAAAGGCTACAACTATCTCCAACGTGTAAACGGTTAAGGCCACCGCCGCCAATAATTCGACTCCCTTATTCGAGTTGTTTACAAATCACAATCGATGAAGTCCGCTCTTCGAGCTCGGCCGAAACACGACCTCAATAAGCGGAGGGACTAACTGTATGGGTCAAAATCTGATCCCACGATAATTAACGAGGCTAATCCCGTTTTAAGTTAATTCATGATTAATTAACGGCACGAACACTCAGGATTGACAACGTTCAACCCACCTCTAGCTCGGTCAACAAGGCCCTGGCCTACGCGCCAATACAAAAGGCGAGATCTCAACGTGGTTACGGCCACTTATCGCCAGCTCACGAAGCTCACCGCTATAAATACCAAGAGAGGAAACCCCAGAAAAGGGGGCTGCTTCTCGACCACTAGTGAGAGGAGAGAGAAACGAAAAAAGATACCCCTCTTATGGGAAGAGAAAATACCATTGTAAGGCTCTGAACCTCTCCATGGAAAGGCAGACCAAACAAATATTATCAATAAAGGTTTCTAATGCTTCTCCCCCTAATCGTGAGTTCTTATTTTCATGTCTTTCATGTCTTTAAATACATAACACATATCTTCACAAGCGTGACTATCACTAAACCATTGTGAATTATTATATATTCTTAACTTAATTTATCACTTAGCTATAGTAAATTAGACTAGTTTGATGTAAACCCCCGATATAAATTAGTTTTTACCGTACACTTCAATCAAACCAAAAGGTATACTTTAAAGAAGTTCATAAAAATTATTACTTCCAGACCACAATATTTGTCCGCATGCATTTAAGAAAGATGTGTAACATTTTTAATCATGAATATTTGTCTAATTTATTTTATATATCTACTTAAATACTCGCTTCCTTCACTTATACTTTTCCACTAAGTTAAAAATATATTTTTATTTTTATTTATCCATTATATTAAATAGAAAATATATATAATTTTTTTTCGTATTTTATCCTTATCATTAACTAGTTATTCTCCAAATAATTAATTTTTCAAGACTTCTGAAAATACTATTATTATTATGGGTAAAATTATAAAATATATATTTCATTTATTATTTTTTTCAGAAAAATTCAAGGTGGACAACTAAAAGTGAATGGAGGGAGTGCTTTACTTAACTAATATCATATCACTAATTGGACAATATACATAATTTGAAGAAAACAAAGAGTAATTAATTCTTTTAAATATCAGATATTCTAAAACTAATTCAATTTATCAAAACCACTACTATTCGGATTGAACAATTACCCTACAAATTACTCTACTTCTAGGATAATTTAAATCCAAGATCTCGGGACAAAGCGATCCTGATACTTGCGCTGCAGCAAATTATTGGCAACTTTCTACCAATTGGTTGTTGGCTCTTTCCCGAGACAAAGTTATACTCCCTCGTTCACTTTTACTTATACGCTTTGATTTTTTACGTACCTTAAGAGAAATAATAAATGAAGCGTATAATTTATTATAATACACATATTAATTGATGCATATTGTATTGAATTTGAGAAAGAGTGCTGCTATTCGGCCAAACTCAGCGTGACCCAAAAATGACCACACCCGTGAAATGCCAGTAATGCCCTTGTTTTTCCGTTTGGCTTAATGGCCCTTTTTTCCCTCCAAAATATTTCCCTCCAAAATTAGTTAATAACTTTTGATTATTCCAAAACATTGATCCCATAAATCATCATTCTCTCAGCATGGGAAGATAAAAAGCCTTCATATATACGGATGGCAGCCTTCGTATATACGCTCAATTACGTTTTTTTTTAAAATATAATTACGTATTTTTGTTAAATACAATTACGTATTTTTTTTAATTAAATACAATTTATACGGATGGGAAGATCAAAGGTCTATTATGTATATATCATACCATATACTTATGT